TCTCTCCCTCTCTCTCTTCCTCTTCCCCTCTCCACCCCTCTCTCTCTCTCCTCCCCTCTTCCTCTCGCCCCCCTCTCTCCCCCCCCCCTCTCTCTCCCCTCTCTCCCCTCTCTCTCTCTCTCTCTCTCTTCTCTCTCTTCTCTCTCTCTCTCTCTCTCTCTCTCTCTCTCTCTCTCTCCTCCTGCCCCGCTCTGCCTCTGTCTCTCCTCCCTCCCTCCCTCCCTCCCTCCCCCTCTCCTCTATCTCTCTCCCTCCCTCCTCTTCTCTCTCTCTTCTCCCTCCCTCTCTCTCCTCTCTCCTCTCTCGCTCTCTACTCTCTCTCTCTCCCACTCTCCCTCACTCTCTCTTTCTCCTTCTCTCTCTCTCTCTCTCTCTCTCTCTCACTCTCTTCTTCACCTCTCTCCCCCTCTCTCTTTCTCTCTCCCTCTCCCTCCCTCCCTCCCCCCTCCCTCCCTCCCTCCCCTTCCCCCCCTCCCCCCCCTCTCTCCTCTCCTTCTTTCTTCTCTCTCTCTTCTCTCTCTCTCTCTCTCTCTCTCTCTCTCTCTCTCTCTCTCTCTCTCTCTCTCTCTCACACACACACACACACACACACCACACACACACACACACACACACACACCACACACATAATATATATATATATATATATATATATATTATATATAAGATATATATATATATATACTCAGTCACTCACCTACTCACTCACTCTTCCTCCCTCTCTCCCTTTCTCTTCCCCTCCTTCCCTCCCCTCTCCTTCCCTTTCCTTTCTTTCTCCTCCCGTTATTTTCCGTTTCTCTCTCACACTCCCTTTCCTCTGTCTCTCCATCTCTCCCTCTCTCCTCTGTTTTCCTCCTTCCCACCCTCTCCCTAACCCTTTCCTTCCCTCTCCTATTGCTTAACCCTCATTAACCGTCTCACCCTCACCTTCTCCCTCCCTCCCTCTCCTCTCTGTGCCCCCCCTCCTCCTCTCCTCCTCTCTTTTCCTCTCCTTCTCCTTCTCCAATAAAATCTTTCTCAATAATTCGCACACCTTTTGCTGTGAATGCCCACGGGTTCAGAGGCATGGTGGGGGGGGGGTAGACAGGGTCAGGGTGAGCGAGTGTGAGGGACAGTGAGGGTCTGACCTGCTTAGACGCTGAGTTATCTGAGCTTACATTGGTGAGTTCTGGAAGCTTAGGTTAGCTTAAACGTATATATCTATCTATCTGTCTTGGTGGTAGTATCATCTATCTATCTATAGTGTATATCTATCTATCTATCTGTCTCTGATGTATATTTATGTCTGTCTGTCTATGGTGTATATCTATCTATCTTTCTATCTTTGGTGTATATCTATCTATCTATCTATCTTTGGTGTATATCTATCTATCTGTCTATGGTGTATATCTATCTATCTATCTATATCTACTATCTATCTTTGGTGTTATCTATCTATCTATCTTTGGTGCTATCTATCGTGGATCTATCTATCTATCTTTGGTGTATATCTACTATCTATCTTTGGTGTATATCTACTATCTATCTATAGTGTATATCTATCTATCTGTCTATGGTGTGTATTTATGTCTGTCTATCTATGGTGTATATCTATCTTTGGTGTATATCTATCTATCTATCTTTGGTGTATATCTATCTACCTATCTTTGGTGTATATCTATCTATCTATCTATCTATCTTTAGTGTATATCTATCTATCTATCTTTTGGTGATATATCTTATCTATCTATCTTTGGTTTATATCTATCTATCTATCTTTGGTGTATATCTATCTATCTTTGGTGTATATCTGTCTATCTATCTATCTTTGGTGTATGTCCATCTATCTATCTATCTTTGGTGTATATTTGTCTATATATCTATCTTTGGTGTATATCTATGAATATTTTGTTACTATTATTACTGATATCATTATTGTTATTGTCATCACCAATATTGCTTTTATTATAGTTATTACTACTAATTACTAGTATTACGTACATTGTTCTGAATTCTTATTATTATTATCATTATCATTTACTTGAATTCGCAAACTCTTCATTGACATGGTGTATTTCCCACAAATCAGACGATCACAGCATTTTGAACAGTTCGTCCTTAGTCTCAAGAATTCTTGATTAACAGCTACATTAACATCAGTAACAACATCAACAACATTAACTACATCAACATCAACACCAATTACAACATCAACACCAATTACATCAACACCAACTACAACATCATCACCAACTACAACATCAACACCAACTACAACATCATCACCAACTACTACATCATCAACTTCATCACCAACTACAACATTCAATTCGTCATCATCACAACTACAACATACATCATCACCAACTACTTAATCATCACCAAACTCACAACATCATCACCAACTACAACATCATCACCAACTACAACATCATCACCAACTACAACATCATCACCAACTACAACATCATCACCAACTACAACATCATCAACTACAACATCATCACCAACTACAACATCATCACCAACTACAACATCATCACCAACTACAATCATCATCACCAACTACAACACATCATCAACAACTACAACATCATCACCAACTACAACTCATCACCAACTACAACATCATCACCAACTACAACATCATACCAACTTACAACATATCAAACTACAACATCATCACCAAACTACAAAACATCATCACCAACTACAATCATCAATCACCAACTACAACATCATCACCAACTACTACATCATCACCAACTACTACATCATCACCAACTACTACATCATCACCAACTACTACATTTCATCACAACTACACATCATCACCAACTACAACATCAACACCAACTACATATCACCAACTACAACATTCACACCATACAACATCATCACCAACTACACCCACATCACCAACTACAACATCATCACCAACTACAACATCATCACCAACTACAACATCATCACCAACTACAACATCAACACCAACTACATCATCACCAACTACAACATCATCACCAAACTACACACAACATCAACATCAACACCAACTACAACATCCAACACCAACTACAACATCAATATGATAATTCAACTACATCAACATCAAATGCATCAACAACATTAGCTACATTATCATCTACATCAACATCAACTACAACATCAACATCATCAACTAAAACAGCATCCACTACAACATCACCAGGAACAACATCAACTACAACAACTTCCACTACAACATCAACATGAATATCAACATCAACTACAACATCCTCCGGAACAACAACATCATCATCAACATCATCTTCAACAACATCAA